TTCTTATGTTCCGCTGTTCCTTTCCTGTCCTTTTCTTCACAGGCCAGGAAGGGAGGTCTTAATGTCACAGCAGGACCTAAGATCTCTAGGTTACTTGCATTTCCCCCCTTAGTGCAAGTCTTAGATTGCTTTGTGCTTTCTTAGTTTAGATGTGGAATGTATAGCCCAAAACCCATGAGTTGAAGGTTGCACACAGCTTGTAGTGCTATTAGGAGGGAGTGGAACCTTTAGGAGGCAGGGCCTAAGGGGAGGAAGTTATTCCACTGGGGGTGTGTCCCTGTGGGGGATATTGGGACCCTACTTTTTTCCTCTTTGTTTCTTGACCTTCATGAGATGAACAGCTTTACTCCACTACAGGCTCCATGCCACGATGTTCTGCTTTTAAGCCAGTGGTCAAAAACAACGAAAGTTGACTGTCCATGAACTGAAACCTCTGAAGCCATGAGCCAAAATAAATCTTTTCCTTATTAAGTTACTTATCTCAGGTATTTTGTCATACCAACCAAAAGCTAATATACTTAGTCTTGAATTTCTCTTTCTCTAAAAATGAAATATCTCTCTTTTAATTAATAGTCCTAGGTTACTTTAATTTTTTTTTTAGTTTGGGAAATTGGAACACATACCTATAAAATATTCCAGCAGAATAAGAAATTATATCATGAATGTGAACTCCCTCCTGTCTCTTCCCATCCTGGGTCTTCTCCTGAGATGCACCATGCTGTCACCATCTCTATCTCTTATTCCAAAGGTGGCAGAGGGTTCTGAGTGCTGGCCTGAGCTTGGATTTGCTTTGACTTGTCTTGGAGAATCATATCAATACCTACAGAAATATCTCACTTTCTACTAATGTATAGAGGGTATTACAGTGCATAGACAGTTCATGTTTTTTTAACTCAACATCTTTTAATACATTTTAGGTATTATAATCTTAAGTCTTATGCATTTCCAAATAAAACTTCATTGTCTGTTCACTATCTCTGTATGTATATTTTTATCCTTAGATATATTTTTGCTGTTTCTGATTATTTGTATTTTAATTCCATCATGCTGCTTTTCCTAAAAATATTGGAGTACACATGTATGTGTGTGTTAGTTGTAAGTTACTTTAATTTTTTATAGATTAAGAAGAGACAAAAAAACCCAATAAATATTTTTTATCCCTGTGAGATTCATGCAGAGTGGGATACAAAATTCACTCTCTTGCTATGACTTTGTTGCCAAACACTTTATAGCTGACATAAATTTATCCTGGAAACTTATGGACCTTTTTACTTAGTGAATTTAAAAGTTCAGCTAATTCCTCCAAGGAAATGGAAAGCAAGAAGCTGAATTTCATTGGTGTTCTTTCTTATTCATCTGTGACACAGCCATGGAATTTTGTGCAAGCACAACAGACTGATGATAGTGCAAAGTAATCTGTTATATATTTTATAAAGAACTAAAAGAGAGTAGCTTGGAGGCTCAAAACATAAAGATATGCTAAGGAGATGGAAGTGCTAACTACTCCAATTTGATCAGTATGTGCTATATATATGTGTTGACCTATCACACTGTAACCACAGATACATAATTATTGCATGTTAATTAAAAAGAAAAAATTTAAAAGAAATTTTGTGCAGTGGTGAGAAGACTGAGTTTGTCAAAACAAACTTCAACCTAAATGTAACTGTTCGCCTTCATAAGGAGATTGTTTGGCCAAGGGATCTAATCCAAGGGAGTAAAGTGGGGGAGAGGAACTCATGGTTAGTCCATCTGAGGCCCTTCCAGTTTTGCCAGATGCCAATGCAGCACACAACTATTGAACTGTACTTTAAAGGTTTATACTACAATGAATGAGTGGAAGAAAAGAAAGGCAGAATGGATGAATGGATAGAGGATGGATGGATAGATGGATGGATGGAGAATGGAGGAATGGATGGATAAGCAGATGGAAGGATGATAAAAAGGATGGATGGTTGGACTGTACTAGTAAAGAAATGAGTCTCTGGACCTACACAGGAGTTGAGAGATTGTTTTGACTTCCAAATCTAACATTTTGTCTCTGTAAGTTTGGGTAAATTACTTAATCTGTCTAAATGAAGTCCTTCACCTCCAGCTTCTATCTTTTGAAATGTGGATTTAATAATACTTATAGAGGGTTTACATGAAAAATAAATTAGAGAATGGTGGGTAAAGCTCTTTACACAGTGCCAAATATACAGCAAATTCTTAATAAGTTTAATTTATTTGTTTATTTATTTTTGTGGGAATGGGTTTGAACTCATGTCCTCACACTTGCTAGGCAGGTACTCTAGCACCTGAACCATTGGCCCTTACCTTTATTTTACTCCATTTTATCCCCAAAAGGTTTTGAGCTAGCTTTGAAATTACACTTGATACATGTGCTGCAAATTTCTTTCCCAAGTCTACATGTTGCATTTTTACTCCTTTAATAATATGTTTTGGTGAATTGGTTGTATTTTTAGGTAGTCTCATTCTTTTTTTGAAGCTGAAGCTTTTTGTAGACTATTTTTGAGAATTACCTACTCCAAGCTCATAAAATTATTCTCCTACATTTTCTAAAAGTTGTATCACTTTACGTTTCACATTATAGTCTGTGACTTCTCCGATAATGATTTCTGTGTATGGTATTAAATAGGGGGGTCAAAGTTTATTTTTTTCCTCATGGAGGAGCAGTGGACTCAGTACTTTATTGAGGAGAGCATCATTTCCCATTGCCTCTCAGGAGTCCCTTTGCTGTAAGTCAAGTAGATCTGTTTCTGAATTCTCTAATTTTTCCCATTGTTCTTCTTGCCTATCTTTGTACCATTGTTACACTGTATAAGGTCACATATCAGAATTTACAAAGAACTTTTACAACAAAGAGAGACAATAAAAAAGCGGCCAGTGTATTTTATAGGCTTCAAGTCCATTTTAATTCTCCACTTATAATTGCTGATTTAACGTGCATTTATTGAGTGTCTGCAGTGCACCATTCTAAGAATGAAAGTTATACTCTTATTTACTTATTTCATATGCCTTTTTACCCATGCGTTTCACTTCCTTGTAATAGTATATAAGCACACAGAGAAGCAAATGTCTAGGTGATTTGAACATTCAGGACCCAGGTTATAAACACCAACAAAATCTTTGGTAAAGACAGTGAAACGAAGTGTAGCTTGCAAAGTCAAGGACACATGGATGAGATGGTGCTAGCCCAGGCTGCAGGTCACATTTATGTTAAAAATGAGAAAAAAGTCCAACAGGAAGGCACAAGATTGTGTTTTCATAGATATGAAACCAAATGCTCAGAGCATTAAAAAACAAAAAAACTGAAGTTCTCTTCTCCTGGAAGGAATAGCGGACAACAAACCAAAGCAAGCTGAGAAAATGAGTGAACATCAAAGGGACAAATGACTAACATTTGACTCTTGATTAAACAAAAGATTTAGGAATTTTGACTATAGTACAATATTCGTTTCCATGTAAACATCTCAGGTATGAGAGAAAACTTGTTTCCCATTCAGTATTGTCATGATGACCATTGATGGAAGATAACTGCAAGCCTTTGTCAAAAGACAAACATCAGTGAGTTCATGCAGTTGTGTTTAAGATTAGGATAGGAATTGTTTGGTTACACGTGTGGCATGTAATAGCCAGAAGACAAAAGTTATAAATACAGACAGGATAGGAAGGAAGGAACTGGGAGTACTAGGGTTTATTGGTCATCTGGCAGAATCCAAACACTACACAGAGCTATTGAAATGATTTCTTGAAGTATTCCAGTTCACAGTGAAAATGTGCCTGTTTTGTGATGTGACATTTAGTAAGTTAAACAGGAACATTTGGCTTTGATCACAAGACATAGGTTGATAGAAACCAAGTTTCTGGCAACATCTTAAAACAGACTCTTATGACCTTGAAAAATGGGTTCTCTCTTCCTTTCAAGTTTGGAATATGAGTCTCCAAGGGCTTGAGCAACACTGAGTTTTCTAAGGCATGGCAAACAGTGCCAGCTTCAATACTTGAGTGTTTCTGGAGTCACCATGGATATGGTGGGTGTGGCTGCTGCCATGTTGAGTGCTGCATCCATTCCTCAGTTTATGCAGCCAGCATTCGCCTCCCACAGCATCAGTACAGTTCACTTTTTGTTGTTTCTTGGGGCAAAGAGAACACTGACACAGATAACTTGGGGCTGCCTGGCATACTAGGAATATAGGCTGAGTTAGAGTCCTGAGTACATTCCTGAAGCGTGTGATGGGAAGTCCTTCTTCCCTGGGAACCCATCCTCAGCCTAAGCAAGGACGTGAAAATACCATATGCACTGTAAGTGAGATTTTCTACACTGTAAATGAAACAAAGTCAAATATTAGGGATTCTATTTAATAGGACATTAGACTATAACAAACCCATTGCTGTTCTTGTCTAGCATTGCTTCATTTGAATATAAGTTTTCATCCTACAAAAGCATTATTAAATCTCAACAGGAAGCATTACACCAAGCCCCAGGAATAGAAAAGATAGGACAAAAGTCAGGGTCAGGAGAAGAGTAAAAGGACTGGGGATATAGATCACTGTCAGAGTGCTTGCTGCTTGGCTAGCATGTACGAGGCCCTGGGTTTGATGCCCCCATACTGTACACAGAAGAGAGAGAGATAGAGAGACAGACAGAGAGAGAGAGAGAGAGAAGGGAAGCCTGTCAAATAATCCATGAGTCTATGAATTTTTGATAGGGCTATTAATAGAAGTATCTCCTCAAATTAATGAAATCGACTGTATAGTTAAAAAAAAAAAAGAACTCAGTCAGTGGCATGTAACAAACAACCTGAGTTGGAATAACATCTACCCACCATAGAAAGGCTATGATTTCCACAGTTTCAGGACTGGCAGAGAGCAGCGAATCTCAAGGGTGGGAAATGTTACCACACACCCTGGGCAGGAACAAGAAGGTGAAAGTTGTCAGAGCCCAGGCAGCAATATCTTCATCACTCTGTTTCAGTTTGCTTTCTTTATGTTCACAGATGAACTTCACTGCTAATCTTGGTGGGAGAAAGATGGTGCTCCTACCTGCAATCAAATTTTTGTGTGATATCTGGCAGCATGCTACAACCAATTCCAATTCTGGACAACCAATTCTAATTCTGGACAACAAATTCCAGAATCCAGGGAGGTAACTGCTTGGACCAGTGTCCCGTTGGCAATCCCAGAGCTAGCTTCTCTCAGGGTGTTTAACCCTGTAACCACACCCAGAGGCACCCCCCCATTAGGTGATTGTTGATTTACTTGGCCTAAAGTGTCATCAGACCAAATGTATCATTCTATGCTTGTTTTATCCATGTAATTAACCTTAGCTCCTTGCTTTGTGGCACAATGACTCACTCACATGATTTACTTCATGCATTTAATAGCTGCATAGTATTCCGTAGAAGTGCTCTGTAGTCCATTTAACGATTCCCTTTTTCGATTTCAATAAATATTTAGGTTATTTCCATTTTTTCCTGTTATGTATTAAGACACATGCCTACACTCCCCCATAAATCTTCAAGTATTTCTAGAAAGAAATCTAAAGAAAGATGGAATTGCTGGATCAAAGGTTATATGACTTTCGAATTTCAATAAACATTACTGAATTACTACCTAAATGACAGCAGCATGTAAGTGATTATTTCTTACCCTATGATAACCCTGTATACTATAAATCTGTTAATTTTCCCTAATCTGAATGAATAATAACTTCTTATTGCTTTTATTTATATATTTAATTGTTGTTTTCTGTGAAGACTAGGGAACTTGAACATATTTATGCATCATACATACATATTCTCTACCTGGATTTATTTAGTAAATTATTTATTTTCCTTGACTTTTTAAGTGACTAGTTTTTTGCATGAAATTGTCAGATAATTATATATATTAAAGGACATGACTGGTTATTAAAAATAGTGCTTGTCTTTTTAAATTTTGTTTTCATGTTTGGTGTCATACAAAACATTTTTTTTTGCCTCTAAGTAGTTAATTACGTGTCTTCTTTTCCCCTAATTACATGGATTTTATGTTACTTGTTTGCTTTTGAAAGAAGAAAGTCAGGGTCTCTGACCCTCTAACCTCATCACTGTGATTTATTTTATAGCTTTGGAGCCAGATCTGTTTCCATTTTTGTTGATTTTGTTCAATCTATGGACCACCCTCTAGGAACCTCCTGCCTGTGGGAAGTTTCCATCCAGGGAGGATGCCAGTTTGGGGTTTTTTGCCTGGAGCAAGCTTGTTGGTTCCTCAGCATTATTTGAGTTGAATCGTTCAGGAGTATGATGCACTCCTTCAGAATCAGCTGGATTTCGTCTCTGGAATATCACCCACCTGTCAATCACACCTCACTTTTTCTGGAAGCTCCTCACCACCTCCTTCTCAATTTGCCTGCCCTTCCCCCAGTCCTGTGCTTAAAACTGAGGGCCAGAGCCTGGGAGATCCAGTGCCTCAGACCTTTGTGACCCCCGGGGGTTCAGTAAATGTGTGTCCCTGGGAGACACTGAAATCTTTTCATTTGTGATCTTATCAAAGCAGAATGAGGAAAAGGCTCAGTTGAGGGGAGTGAGGAGAGTTGGTCAAAGGACATGAAATTTCAGTATGCTAGGAGGAGTAAGTTTAAGAACACTGTTGTACAGCACGGTGACTACGGTGGGTAAGAATGTATTGTGTGCTTGAAAATCAAGAAAGACTTTGAATGTTTAAATGTTCTCACTGAGAAAAGTATGTGAGATCACGCATATGTTAATCAGCTCAATCAAGCTGTTACAACTGTGTACCTATTTCAATAAATATATACAATTTTTGTCAATTAAATGAATTTTTAAAAGAAACAGCTGAATATAAAATAAAAAAAATCCTAATCTAATCTATTAGCTCAAAATTTTAAATCTTACAACAGGAAGTTATGAGCAAGTACCTTTACATTTATAACTATCACAAAACTTTATTCCACTCTAGTAAAGTGGTCATTCATCTTCCTGCCTCTTCCTGAAGCTGACGAGAGCAGGCCTGCCATGTCTGCCCTGGTGACTACAGGTATGGCTCCTGAAATAGAGCTAAGTGTGGGGTTGCTGCCTCCTGTTTTGTAAGCTACCTTCCTCCTCTGTCCCTCTTTTCCTCCCTCCCTTCTTAACCTCTCTCATTCTCTCCCTCCCTCTTATAAGACATTGCATAGGAGAGATGGGGGAAATACTTATGAGGCAAGAAAGAAAAGGGATTTTTGTTTCCTATTTTTATTTAGTTTAACCATTAAATTTAGGTTTTCAAAGAACCTGGTCAATACTATCTGGAGGGTTGAATGTCACAGAGCTGCATGCTTCCATTGCAGATTGAAAATAGTGTTAAAATCTGCATTCTATTTGGTGACCAGAAGACCAGAGGCAATTCTCCCTTCTCCCATGCTGCTTCCTTCAGAAAGACCTTTCAAGATGGATACTAGTGACTTTGCTCAAAAACATTGTTTTTTCTTTTTTCATAGAATTACAGACATTATTCCTGACTACTCTTTAAAATGATGTATACCATAATATTTCATTAAGCTTTTTTGAAGGCACAAGTGGGAAAAATCCTAGGGTCAGGTGGTCTGATAATTCCTGGCTCAGGCACCAGTTGCCTAGCCATCAACTCACCCCATAACCACTGGGGTTTGTTTCTGTAGCTGCAAAATAGGAGCAAGTCTTAATTCTCAGGGTAAGTAAAAATTCAGTAAAATGTGCTGTGATGGTTATTTTTGTGTGTCAGTTCTGTGAGCTCTCTTCTTTATCATCCAGACCTTATCCTGTGAAATGCAGGCACTCAGGCTTTGAAAGAGAAGGGATGTCCACCATAAGACATAGCATTGCTGCCTTTGTACTAGAAGCTAAGATGCCATCCAGCCACTTTGGGTTCCTTCTGCCTCTGAACCAACAGTCAAATAAAGGAAATATGTGCTGGGTGCAGGGAATGAGTCTAACCAGTAAGAGGAAATTGGTTTCTACTTCACAATGGAAGTAAGGAAGAGCTGTCTGGAGCACAGGAGATCTCTTAGGGTGGCTCTTTGTATTACTGTGCCCTGTGACTAAGGTCATTTGAAACCTACAACACAACCCAGACAGGACTGCTGACTGCCTAGACACTTTAGGAATGAAGTTTTGGATCACTCTGTCAGGTAAAGAATTGTGACCAACTGAGTTGTTTTCTGAAGGCAAAGGGACTATGAAATGTATAATGGAAAAAAGGTAATTATAAATACCTGCTACAAACATGTGACTAGACAAAATGTCATTGCTTTCTTTCTTCTTTTTTCCATTATCATATAGATGTATTGACTTCATATCATAGTATTTAAGTTAGTTTTACATTGTAATGTTTAAGTTATTAAACTATCCAAGAGTAAGTATCATTCGAGGATGTAACCCTTTCTTGTGGAGAAAGGGTTAGTGTATTTTTTATTGTATATGAAATAGCTGTATCGCACCAGATGGAATTACATTCTTGATATTTCCTATTTGGAGATTCAGTATCTGAATCAGATTAAGGAGAGGTGTATGTCTGCCAAGTTGACAAGGGGTGGACTTGTGATGGTTAATTTTACGTGTCAACCTGATTGAGCTACAGATACCTGGTTAAACATTATTTCTAGCTATATCTGTGAGGGTGTTTCTAGAAGATACGAGCATTTGAATCAGTAGACTGAGCTCCACAATGCTGTTGGGCATCCTCCACTTTATTCATGGTCTGTATAGAACAAAAAGGTGGAGGAAGTTTAAATTAGCTCTCTGCTTGATTGCTTGCACTGGGATATGGATCTTCTCCTGCCTTCAGAGCTCCTGGTGTATCAGACTTTCAGACCTGGACTGGAATTTCCACCATTGGCTCTCTAGCCATTGAATTACAACATCTGCTTTCCTGGGTCTTTTGTCTGCAAATAGCTGATCATGGGACTTCTCAGACTCTGAAATTTTGTAAGCCAAGTCCTTATAATAAATCTCATGCTATAATTCCATATTATAAATATCCCTATTGGTTCTGTTTCTCTGGACAACCCTAATATAATATACCACAAATTTTGATACAACATCCAGCTTAAATAGGTGTTGAAATGACAGTGAAGAGGAATAAAATATTGAATTGCTGTAGCTTGAATGTATTCCCTCCAAAATTCTGGTGAATGACCAATATGATTGTATTAAGGCTTTTAAGGTAATTAAGTCACAAGGGCTCCTCCTTTCATGAATGGAATTAAGAAGCCCCACACAGTGTTCAGTTGCTGGCCCTCTATTATGTTCCTTCCCTGTGGAGCATGTATCCACAAGCACCATCTTAGGAGCAGAGGTAACCTTCACCAGACCCCGAACCTACTGGCACCTTGATCTTGGACTTCCCAGCTTCCAGAACGATGAGAAAATAAATTTATGTTCCTTATAAGCTAGTCAAGTTCAGATATTTTGTTACAATAGCACAAAACAGACTAATATAAAAATGCCTTGACTTAGTTCGTAGTTCACTTAGTACTCACCAAACTCAAGGGGAACAGCCCTCTAGTGACCTTGTATGTACCCACATAGGCTACACAGGCAAAGTTATGAACCCCAACTAACTGGAGATTTGGCAGAACACATTGCAATCTCTTAGGACATGAGAAGGTGGGGGTTTTGTGGGGACCTTGAATACATTTCCCACTTTCTTCCTCATCCCTCTGAGAGGCTGCAGTGAGACATGCTTTTGTCACCTCCTGGGTTCTGATGCCTTCTGCTGACTCCTTCCAGGTTCAGGCTACTTCTTCACTCAGCACAGCAGTGGGCTCCACAAAGCACAAGCAGCCATCCAGTCCCAGCCATGGTGATGCATCTTGTTTGGTGTCTGGGACAAGGACCTGGGAGCTGGTGCTATTCTTCCTTTTACTCTCTCTGTTCCCCAAACTGTCTGAATGTAAACATGGCTTGTTCTGTCTTAACCAGTGGCAGTTTCCACCTGTGACCTGCCTTGCCTAAGGTCTTGTCTTTTCTTGGATGCTTGACAGAGTGCTCTGAGCACTGGGTAGTGGGACCTTGTGAATAAGGTGGGGCCTTGGTCCCTGCCCACAGAGGGCTCAGTTATGACAGTTTTTCATTGGAGATGGCACAGGATGACACATCTCTTAAGAGGAAAGGGACTCTGTTGGCCCTTCCCCTTCTTTCCCTCCTCCTGAACTACTCACATTTTCCTGTGCATGGTGACCATACTCTGGGATTAGCAGTCATCCTCAGTGAAAAGCTTCAGGGCCACTTTTTGGGTAGAACTCAAGATGACCACCACAGGATGATCCTCATACAACTCTCCATTGATGGTCTTTCGCGTATCTTCTCTCCCAGGCTACCTGGTGGGGACCACCAACTGACTTACTGGGCACTAAGCTCCTAAAACAAAAGCCTTTTATTAATAAGGTCTAGGATATAAAATTGTTTTGGTAGGTGTTTCACTTTCTCCAAACTTTGTTTCTGTTGCTTGTGTCTTATTGAGGGGTCAGAAATACCCCTTTCCAAAAAAAGACCCTACAGCATAAAGTTCCGTCATAGTATGGACTCTGAAGAAGTTAACCCCAAACAATGGGAGGGGAGGGGAAGTGGATTGCTCAGAAGGTGAGTCTAGGCACATTTTCAGCGGGTGGAGGAGAGGGGTGGTGGAGGAAGTGGAGCAATGAGGACAGGAGCCAGTACAGAGGCACAAGTGGGTAGATTTCTGCTGTAGGCAACTGGGGTGCAATTCCTTCAGAGACTCAAGCAGAGCAATGTTGAATATGCCACAGAGTTACCACTGCCCCACCTCCCCAGGGCTGAGAACCTGGGGTCATTGTTTATTTACCAACCAAGTCCCATAAATCCTTGACACTAGGCAGCTCTTGGGAGCAGTGATTCCCTGGCTCCTGTAACCTGTCACTGGGGGCAGGGAGAAGGCCCTTTGGGGAGGTGCTGTCCTCACAGGAACACTCTATAGTAAGGACCATGGAGATGTGGGCAGGGCACCAACAGCATTAGCTTCCACCTGTGACCTCCATCAGTGTTCACTTGTCCTGGAGCCAGCCCAGAGCTAACCTAGGTAGACAGAACTCTAAGGGCCAGTGCTGCAGATGCTGGCTTCAGACACCCTGCATGTTTTCTCAGAATTATGACTTGTCAAGAGCAGTTCTAATATAGTCTCTTGTTTCAAAGAGTGTCCAGTTTCCTATGAATGGTTTATTGAAAAAACATGTGTGGACAGAAATATTTGTGTGCAGCACAGAGACTTGAAATCCATCCACATGAGCCATGGCCTCCTTCTCACAGTGTTCTCTTTATGGAGTGTCCCGACTGTTATCTTCAGAGTGTATGAGAATCTGCCTCTAATTTTGAAGTATTACTAGGCAGCACTTAAAATAAAGCTTACCAGATTTGATTTGTGGAAGGCACAGAGGGAGAGGTCGGCTCAGTTGATCCCTTTTTAAGTGGAGCTTTTACATGCCTTGTTGGAACTGCTTTGCAGCGATCTTGGAGCCAAGCTGAGAGGAATCATAAAATACTCACAATGCCCTGCACAGCTCTGCAGACACTTTTGGAGTTCGATTTGCTTTTATGGAAAAGATCAGTAACTTCTTCCATGTGTATCCATTTTATGGGTTCCTGGGTGCTTCAAGCACCATTCCTGCTTGATCCTCATAATAGGCAAGTGGGAAGCATCTTCATTTTGAGGGACCATTTCTACAATTCATTACAATAGGTAAGGGCTTTGCTGTGAATTGAATATTTGTATCCCTCCTAAATTCATTTGCTGAAATCCTAACCCCCCAGGTGATGGTATTAAGAGGTGGGCCTTTGGGAGGTGAGTAAGTCATGAGGGTGGAGTCTTTATGGATGGAACCAGCGCTCTCATAAAAGAGGCTTGAGAGCTCCCTGGCCTCTTCAACCATGTGAGGGCACAGTGAGAAGGTGCCATCTATGAAGCAGGAAGTGACCTTGCCAGCCACCAAATTTTATAGTGCCTTGATCTTGGACTTAATCAGCCTCCAGAATTGTGAGCATACTTGAATCCATTCTTTATATCCTGTGAAGCTCCTGCTCACAGGATGAATGTGAGATCAGAATATCCTAGGCTCAGGTGAGCATCAGACCTCAGCTCAGTGATCCTAGGTAGGAGTCTTCTGCTCTGACCCAACCACAGCATGCCATGTGGGTGGGTGGCCCCTAAACCACATGGCACTTTCTTCTTTAGTTGGGGGTTGTTACTCACTCTCAGTGTCCTGAAATCCTAGCATGGTATAGTTCACAGAACAGGCATGCACTAGTTATTGTTGTATGAACAAAACTCTTATCCCAAATGCAGTGTGCATAACTTCCAGACAAAGCCATTCAGTGCTAGTTTGAGGCTGAACTCCCACTGAGATGAACTCATGAGCATTACATCCTATGCCCACCATGGGTCCAGCTTCTAACTCTGGGATCACGCTAGGAGACCAGGAATCTGCAGTGCTTGGTTGAAAACACACAGAGTATTGGTTATAGCAATGGAATTTATAGTGTTGCCTTCAACCCTCCTTCCCTTTCTTCCTCCCTCTCTCTCTGTCAATAACACACACACGTATAAACACACATACACTCCTCCCATTAATGGAGACTCATTTTTACAATAAATAGAATGTTGCTCTTTTGTGGGAGAAAGAATGAAAAATGTTCTAAGCTAGTGGCTTAAACTTGAGAAGGCATCAGTATCCTCGCGGGCTTCCATATTGCTGGGCCCCACAACAGGCTTGGTCTGGAGCAGTCCCAGGAATGCACATCCCAAATATTCCCAGGTGATGCTGATTCAGCTGTTCTGGGCATCACACTGAGTCCCACTGGAGCAAGCCCACACCCAGCAGCTTGATGCTTCAGAGCTGCAGCCTTTCTTCCCCAAGACACCAAAGGATTTAGAGAGGAGCCTGCTTCTTAGAGCTTCTCAGAGATGAATGATTCAAACACCATCTATCGGTTAAAGGCTGGAACCAGTATAAAATCATGTTTCTACAGGTTCAGCAGCAAATCAGCCTCAGAATTGCAGGATCAGCATGAATAAGGTATGAGTCCCCTACCCAAGAGGTACATACAAACAGGAAAGGAACAATGGAATACAAGAAGTAATAGAAGTGAAAGGTAGAACTGCTCTTTAATTCTAAGTTTTCTGTCTTTAGAAATATCTGGCTAAATAATATCTTTCATAACCAAAATGAAATATAAGGAAAT